ATGCTGAATATAGGAGAAATGTAGATCAAGGAAAAACCATGTATCTTGCCGATGAGAATATAAATTGTTATAGTCACACTGAAATTTGCATTACCATTTACATTTAAAGCTTACATCCCCTACAACCTAGCATTTTGAATCCTAGATACACACTTTGCAGCAACTGTTGCATGTATACATCAGTAGATTTGCATGAAAATGTTTTAGAAGCATTGTTCACATTAGCAACAAACAAAACAAAACATTTATTGACAATAAAATAAAAGTACCTTGTGGCATCTTCACACAATGAAGGAGTATACACCAGTGAAAATAAATGAGCAAAATTATAAATAAAAACTAAAAGCAAACTGTTAAGGAGGAAAGAAAGCAAATCACAGAATACTACATACAGCATGGTACCATTTTTATGAAACCTCAAACCAGCAAAATTAAATGACAAATAATTTAGATCATATGTATGACAAAGCTATTGTTTTAAGCAGTCATGATAAATTCAACACACAGGAGAGAACAACAAGGTGTTTCAACCTTAGCCCCACTAGTACTTAAAGCCAATAACTCTTGGTTGTCAGAGACTGTCCAATGCACTATTGGATGTTTAGCAGCATCCCCCATCTCTACTCACTCGATGCCAGTTGTAAACCCTACCCCACTGGTGACCACCAAAATTGTGTCCAAGTATTGTGGACATGTCTCTTGAGAGATAAAACTGCCCCCAAATAAGAACCCCTGGATAGAGGTTACCCTTAGGAATGGGACCAGGGGAAAAAAAAAAAAAGGAATGGGACCAGGGAGCAAAGGAGATAGTAGAGGAGAAATCCAGGGGAAAGTGCCAGGTTAGTGATGACTCTCTGGTCGCTGGTTTGTATTATAAGTTCAGGGATGCCATTTTATTCTTATGCCTCATGGCTTACATGCTTTTTATCTATCAGATAGTATACAGATGATTTTAACATTAACTATATGTGATGATACATAGTAAAAATACCAGAATAAAATATCTCAAAATTAGCAATATACATCCTTAGAGACAAAGGCTATTGATGGTTTCTAGTTCCTTCTCTGTAATGTCTGTTTTCAAAAGAAAAAAAGAATATGCATTAGTTGTATAAAAAAAACGTTTTTAAAACCCTTCCAAATGAGACAACAACAATGCTCCTTGATTATCATGGTGGTGTTTGACACAAAATCATTTCAGAACTCATGAAAAAGTTCATTCCCTATTTTGTCACTTATATTTATTATACGTCTACTTTTAAGAAACAGCATTTGATCTGGCAAGACAATATGTTCTTCTTTTGGTTGCCCTGTATCTCAGAGAGTGCTTGTTAATCTAGTGTGTACCCAGCTTTATTTTTATAAAAGCTCATAAAAAAGTATTTGAAATTATTTGAGAGTTTGCTATATTTGAAGCTGCTGGCTCAGTTAGTCCCGGGCCTGTGATAAACCCTGGGGTTTGTTTCATCTGTTCTCTACAGCAGCTGACGCACAGCATGCTCTGCTCTCTGTATTTCTAATTTTTGTGAACCCTTTGATCAAAATCTGATGATGTAAAAAACAAAACAAGAGGATCAGTGGCAGTGGCAGCTAAATGAGTTCAAGAAGTTGTTTCAAGCATTGTCACAGTTGAGAAAATGATTCCTTTTCTTCAAATTAGATCCAAATTCTAGATACTAATGGAGAGAGAATTAAATATTATTTTATTTATTCCTGGTGAGAACACACTGCCAGAGCCCAACTGATAAATATTCGATGTGAACTCCTTGGAGTACATAATCCAAGGGTCATCTTAGCCAACACATACTGAAACTTCTTCCTTTCTCACAGGGAAAAGAGATGCTTCTCTTACTCTATGCATGGGATAGATAACTAGATATATTTATGGCACAAGCATATGTCACCTGTTTCTATCTTACCTTCATTTATTAAAGAAGGCAGAACAATAGAAACCCTGGATTTGAAACCAACTTTTCTGTACAACTTAGAAGAAATCACCTAAATTCTCTGAGACTCAGTTTGCTCAGCCAAGAAATGAGAATAACCAGAACACCTGCCAATCTTACTTTATAGGTAGATGAGAGAATTGCTTAAGGTTGTGTCTAGGAAAATGCTTCAAGGACTATTTATACCTTCCTACCTATACCTGCATCTATATACCTACAGTTCTATAGAGATGTAATGTGTAAGAATTAAATGGTCTTATTATCACCAGATGTTTCTGTTACAAGGAAAGCCATTTGTTATATTGTGTGTGTGTGTGTGGGGGGGTGTCACAAAGAGTAAGTAAAACAGTTTTTTTGCTTGTTTATTTTGTGAGTGACCCCATTCTCTATAGTTCACAGCCTCTTCCTCTTTTCCCAACAGTCAACCATTCTGGTCACCACTCCAACAGTGTGAAACTGTTGCTGGAGCAAAAGGCCACTCATTTCAAAGACTCCAGACACAAGTATGTCTGATTCAGCATCTCTCAACCAGGGCCAATTTTATTCTCCTTCTCACAGCGACGTGTGACAATATCTGGAGACAATTTTGATTGTCACAATTAGGTTGGAGGTACTTCAGTCAGCTTGTGGGTAGAGGACAGGGATGCTGCTAAATATCCTACAATGCACAGGACAGCTCTTCATCCCCAACAACAAAGAATTGTCTGGCCCCAATATCAATAGTGCCAAGATTGAGAAACCCTTATCTAAGTCAACACTGGGTAACTGTGAAATGGTTCAACTGTTCTGAAGCTTATTCTCCATCCCACTCATGTATCCAGGGTAACTTGCTATTAGAATGAAATTCAAGTGGCCCTCCTTGCTGTGGCTTATTTATATCATTGTTTGAATCAGGTGTATATGTCAGTCTCTCAATTTACCGTCTATCAGACAGTCTCCAGGGAATTGAGCCAACTTAGCATTTTAAGCTTGTATTCAACTACAGTCAAGTAGAATTCTTCTTGGTCTGACAAATATCTCTGATTTTCTTTTTATTGGGTCTCTGCAATTGGTTCCTCATCTTTTGGTCTGATTCTGGGTGATTCATTCTAAGTTTAGGTACACAAGCTCCTGCTTAGGGTTGAGTCCCTATACTCTGTCTTATAGACATTTGGTCAGACAGGTCCTCCATCATACTGGAAGAAACTCTAATCAACCAGAAGTCAGGAAACAAAGCAGACAACGAGGGATGTCAGATGGTTTTCTAGGCAAATGAAGAGGCAGCTGTTAAGCTGGTTTTGCAAGCACAAACAATCAAGAGGCTAGGGACACCCAAATCAATTTAATATCATATAGAAGAACTTTGGAGGATTATCACTTTTTAGTATAATTAGAAGAAAATGTCTCCCTGCAATCACCAATACACAATTTAGAATAATAAAATGACTAAAAGAGTCAGAGTTATATAGCAAATAAGACACAACCAAAAGTGGTCCTCATTTTATTCTTATTTACCATTACATAGTAATGTTTTTATTAGGCTGGTAATAGAGTATCACAAGATGACCTGCTACAGATGTCATTATGTATTTTAAAATGGCTCTCTTAAATTCCACTGGAATTTAGGAAACAATTTTGAATAAATGCATCCAAAGAAAAATCATTACTGATTCTCATAGGAAGATAATATGCTTTTTCCCCTTTTTCTCTTAGATCTCCTTGACATTGACAGTGTGACTAATGTACTCAGTGGTATGGGAAATCCTCAAGGCAATGACATCACAATATGTAATTTTTCCCTTGTGTACTCAGGAAAGTCAAAGTTCTCTTGTACACTTAAAGAATCAAAAAGCCTAACTTGAAATGGGAATAGTATCCAAAATAAACAAGTTGTAATATTCTCTTTCCCTCTCAACCCAACCTTTTCCCCTGTAGTTTTAAAGTTTGGAATTAGGTTGTCATAATAGTCTGACTTTCATTTTTAATTAGCCAATGACTTAGAAAAGAAAGGATGAAAGAAGAAACTTGCTGTGTATTAAAATCATTGATGTGTAGTTTTCTTTGGGTTCTGGTGTTTGATGAAGTGCCTTACATTGTTTTTTTTGTTGCCAGCAACTGAAATACCTACTAATGCTTTCTGGCTCTAAAAGAACTGCACAGCATTGGCTGCATATGTTTACCATTATCCACAGAACTGTCAGACCCTTTATTCCAGTGGAAGCATGCATGGAAATAGGCCAGGACGCAAAGGAACACAGTTCCGGTAGTGAAATTAGCAACTGGACAACATTCCCAAGGAAGCGGCTGAGTTCAGTTCTGGCAAAAATCCCATTGCTGCTGGTACAAAAAAAAAAAATTAGAAGAAGAAAGAGGAGGAGGAGAAAGAAAAAAAGAAAAGAAATAAAAGGAAAGAAAAAAACCCACAAAGGATAAAATTTATTTAGGGGATAAAGGGAGGTGAATATATATGATTTGTGTAGTCTATCAAAAAATAATCCTGATAATTCTTTTCATTTATGCTAAATTTTTGGTTTGGGGGTGACTTCTGATTTTGAAATGTCAAAATGCTTTTCTGAACCTTGATTATGCATAAAGGTTTAGCACTTAAGACTGGCAACCTTTTCGCCTTTGAAGAGAATTTTCAGAGTTTATCTCCTTATTGTGGTCACAGGATTTAAAAGCCATTATTTTGGTTGAATTAAATTGTGGTCATTATTTTTAGTTCCCCAAAATTGTATCCATTCACCAAACCAACTATGGTGAAATAGAAAAAAAGTCAATTCTCAGTATGGTTTTGTAAAATGTTGGTAAGGGTTACCTAAAACATGGACAATCAGTAAAAGATACATTACCAATAGTTTATGGTATTTTTTAATGTTTAATTGGGTTGCTAAGTAACATGGATGTATTTGTAAAATATTGCTGAATATTCAAAATATTAAGGGGGGCCCTTTAATATCACAAACCTTGTTGGGGACCAGGTAAAATCCATAATTACACAAATCTGTATGATCATAAAACAAAATGTATCTTGTCTTTTCAGAATCAATTAAAAATACTATGTGGTAATCATTATATATTTATTATTCTATTCAAGCTTAGCAACAATTGCTGAAATAGATTTTATTATCCCTTAAAAGGTAAGGAAATTGAGGCATGAAGACTCACATGAGAATTATTTGCAGGGCTAGAATTTGAACCCAGGTCTGTCTGGCTATGAAACCACATTGTAGACTCAATAAACCCATTTCCTCTTCTTTCTGGACGCACAGCTAGACTACATTTCCCAGTCTCCATGGTATTTAGATATGACCATAAGACCAAGTTCCAGGCACTGGGATGTAAACAGAGATGATTTTACCATTTCAGACTGGCCTATAAAATCCTTCATGCAGTACCCTCTTCATGGTATGTCCATTTCCACTGCTTTGAGGCAAATGTACAGGGAACACCTTGGATATGTTGAATATGACATAGGCACAAGAAAAAAAGGGTCTGGGTTCCTATGCTGTCTCTGGAAAAGAATGCCAATTTGGAAATTTATGAGAATGAGAAATAAGCTTCTATTGTATTTGAACCTTCATACATTTTGACGCTTTGTTTGTTACAGCAGCTAGCATTGCTTTGCCTGTATATAGTATTGCCTACATATTATAATAATAGTCTTTCTTCATACTGAATGGACCCAGAGAAGTCCATACAAAAGGGCAAATCTATAAATAACTTTTAAATAGGGACTTGAAGAAAAGAGATGTGAAGGAACAAGGAGACACTTCATCAATTCTTTTGAAGAAAACTATATTTAGAAAGGACACTTCTTATTTTTCTAAATAATCAACAAACATCTTAAGAGTTATAAAATCAACTATTTTATATTTAAAAACTGGATATACTATGTGAAGACCAATGTTATATTATGTACACAGAGATGTTTAATAATAATTTTTTCACTATCTCTCTTGGATAATTATTTTGATTTGATATATTTTATTTGAAAAACTTAGAAGGCAGGGGAAAGGAAAGCAAGAAGTCCCATTATGCCTCAATGGGATCATTTAATTCAGAAAACAAGAGTTGCTTACAATTAAATAAAAATTTCAAACTCTTAGGGATATTATACTTCATGTCTATGAATTCTGGTGATCAGGAATGAAATTAAACTTCTCTAAAAAACAATATTATCATGATGAGGTTTCAGGGTAGTTATGTTTGTACAAAAAAAATCCCTAAAAATGTACCTTTTTATGCATCTATCTTTTCTCATAAGAGAAAAAATGTATTTAAAGGAGCCCTAGAGATAATGCTGGAGCTGGAGCTTTGTAGGATTGTCATAAAAATACCATATGATCTAAAATGAAATCTTAATGTCTGTAAGGAGAATAAAGCTGTTCTAAGTAGAGTTGGGACAGTGGAGCAAAGTCTCCTTCTTCCCCAGTTGTCCAAATCCAGGTCCAGTCTGGTCTGGCATTTACCAGAGGATCCCATGCACTGCTATCTCTGGAAGAGGAGACCCTAAGGGTGATGAGTGAATAGTGCCAAAGTTCCAGAGAAGAGGCAGTGAAATACAGTGTGAAGATCATAAATTCTAGAATAAGAGACACCTGCTTTTCTACTTGTTAGCTATTTGGCTTTGATTAAGTCGTTAGATTTTTCTAATTCTGAATTGTGGTTTATCTACCAAAGTAGACAATGCCACATACCTCGAATGGTTCTTGTGAGACTTACCAACAATATAAAAGGAGAATCTGGCAAAAATATTTAATAAGTAGAAGTGGTTGCTGTCATGGTTGGAGGACAGTCCAATCCTAGAGCACTCTTCAGTCTCCAGGGGAGATAAGTTGACAAGACTTGGCTGGAGGGCTCCAATCTTTGGTCTAATGTTCTAGTTTTTCTAGGGAAAAACTGGTACACAAACACACAGAAAACAGATGTTCAGTCATCAGGATAGAAGATTTCAGGGAGCATGTGAAGCCACTCCAGGATCACCAAATACTAGGATGATGACAGCATAACTGCCTCCAGATCTTAGTCATTGGGAATAGAGCTCCTGGTATATGGACAGATGTGGACAGGGCTGTCTCAAGAACTGATAAGTGCTGACCCTTTGGGCTACAACTATATAGTGTCTGCATCTACATGAGTTTGAGGCTGGCAGAGAATGAAATTTGTTATGAAAAGTGAGCTATGTTCCTCAATTTTTTTTTGCTTTATTTTTCTATCACATTCAACTATAGGCCATTTCCAAATTTCTTATTTGCAATCATGAGAAAGAATTTTTCAATTCTTTCAAGTATAAACTTATAAGATTTGAACCTTTGTGTTTATCTTTTAATTTCTAAATTACTCATGATCCTCATTGTATTTCTCCTTGAATAATCTTTATTTGTGTATTTAACTTCATTTGCCTACTCAAATAATTCTTGAGAGTAGAAAATGTGTCTTACTATCTCAGTCAGGGTCCCATAGGAAAACAAATGGCACTCTTCAGCAAGATAATTAAGTCAAATGAAATGAAGGGGTATTTACACAGATATGAGCAAGTTTTAGGAAAATCAATAAGGGACAGTGTGGTACTCTGGTACAAGCAATGTTGGGAAGCTGGTACTACCCATAGGGCTAAAGAGACAAGGGAAGGAGAGTGTAGTGGTCATCTGATAGGGACTGTGGCTTTTAGTAGAGATTCACAAACAACTAAAGAGAAAGAAATACCCTGATCTCATTTCCCCCAAGCCTTCTAACCTCTAACTTCCTCTCATTGTCTCTCATTGGCCAAATCCAACCAGAAACCAGAAGACAAAGGAAACAACAACAAAAAAATCTTCACTTTTCTTCTTTTAAAACATCTCTTACAGAGGATGCCTAGCTGGCTCAGTGGGTAGAGCATGTGACTCTGAAACTTGGGTAGCTCAAGCCCCACCATAGATATGGCTCAAATTTAAAAATAAAATCTTTAAATAAATACATAAATAAATAAATAAGAATCTCTTACAGACACTGAACATATCATTATTGAATTGAGCTTTGTGCTTTATTGGTTTATAAAGACAAAAAAAACCCCACAAAATTGCACTGCTAACATTGTCGCTTCATTAAGCCTCTCCATATAACTTCCTTAACCTCCCTCTGCTTCCTTCCTTCCTTCCTTCCTTCCTTCCTTCCTTCCTTCCTTCCTTCCTTTCCTTCTTCCTTCCTCCAACTGAAACTCAGTCTCATGGGGGTCAGAGATGTAAACTGATATCATCCAATAGGATGAAGGCTTTAAATGAAGGTGTAGAGATGTGTACAAAAGGCTATGAGAACAGTGAAGAGCAGTCCTAAGTCTGCCACAGGAAATCAGAGAGGTTGATGCGGGACCTTCCCTTGAAAGAATATCCAGATATGTCAAAATGAGAAGCAGAAAGACTGCTAAGGTGCTGGCCAACCATGAAGAATTTCCTGCTGCTTTTCTTGCCTCTGTGCTCAATCATGAGATGTGTCAGCTGGGTGCAGGGACAGCCCCTAGAGACAATCACTTCTATGGCCTCCTTGCTTCAGTGAGAGGGAGGGAGGGCATAGGGATGAGTGTCTCTAGCTGAAGGAACGTCTACTCCAGAAGTCGGCTTTCACTACAGACCGCCTAAGGTTGGATATGGATATGATTAGGGTCTGCAATAAGTGACATCTGTTTGCTCTGACCTTTGGGTAATGTGGCGTTTCTTTCTCTGGGGCAGATGCTAGAAAGGTGTTTATTGTGAGTTGACAGGGGTCTTGGTGGGTGGTGAGGTGTGAGTCAAAATTCGACTATGCATTTTGGCATTTTGTCTACAGATGTTTCTCAGATGTTTGTGGGCGGGCATGTCTTTAAATAAAGAAATACTAAATGTATGTTTCTTTTGTGGAGGAAAGGAAAAAATTCACACTTAAAAGCTTGGCCCTTTTATGCCTTCAACAGCACACTTGTTTCATGGCCAGATGAGAATTAGTTATTGCATGTATTTTCTGAAGGGAAAATTTGATCATTTAAGGAAAAATCATCTGGTAGTATGAAATTAATGTGCTGATGAAGAACTTGAACATGGCAATGGGGAAAGTATGGGAAACTTCATGAGGTACCAGATACTTGTTTTATGCAGTCTTGCTCTCCTTTATCTTTCTGGTGTATCCTTCCCCCTACTCAGGCGAAAAACTGGATTTGATGAGGCTCATTCTTTATTTCAAAGTTCATTGCATTTGGAGTTGTCTTCAGAATTCACAGTCTATACCTATTTATTGTACCATGGAAGTCATATCTTCCATTGAAGATGCTGATTTTATAATATTAGAGAGAGAGATCTTGAAGGATATTCAATTTCTTCAGAATTATGTTGATATAAAAAACATGATTTGCAAAGGTATGGAAAATCAAACCATGCTTTTAAGATTATCTTTCTCTTTTTTTTTTTTTTACTTTAAGAAAGAAAAGTAACTAAAGGAAAAATAAAACAGTCCATTTTAATTTTGGTTTCCAGAATCACAAGTTTTAAAAGAAAGTTTCTCAAGTTTCTAAAGAAATCCTCTTTTAGTTTGAAAAATCTATTTGAAAAACTTTATAAACAGATGAAGAAACTCCTTATAGAGTTGATTAATCTGCTTAGTGAATAAATGGAAAAATAGTGATGATGAAATGAGCCTGGAAACCAAGAGCTTAAACATTATGTGGAGTTTTCCTGCTTCATATCAAAACTTCTTAAAATAATGTTTTTGACAGATGCTTACTTTGACCTCTACTTGTTAGCAGTTAGATGGAATTTACCCAAAAAAGTTTATTTTCAAAATAATTTTGTTGTGTATAGTTAAGGAGACCAACTTTTTCCCATTTAGTTTACTTAAAATTCTTAAACCTTAATGATTATCTTAACAAGAATGAAATATTTTATCTAATGCTCCTGCTTAAAAAAACAAACAAAAAGATAGCTGATGAATGATTATAAGGATAGTTACAAACAAAATGATAAGATTTGTTATATTTGTTGGTGAATGTGTTCTAATAGGAATATAAAAACTGCTTCTTCAACTTAGCTATTATATAGACCTATATTGTAGATCTTCCACAGAAATAAAGCTGAGAAATGTGAAGTGTGAAAACTCACATGAAAGTTTGCTTACAATCTTGAATTCTTTCTCCCAAATCGAGATAGTGTGTTCCAGCAAAGCTAGAGAAGAGATCCACCATAAAATATTTAATACATGGTTTCTTCATTCAAATTCATTGTTACACTAATGACTGACTTGTTTCAGTGCCTTATGGGAAAGTGGGTCTAGGGTACCTGGGTGGCTCAGTGGTTGAGCATCTGCCTTTGGCTCAGGGCATGATCCTAAGGTCCTGGGATTGAGTCCTGCATCAGGCTCCCCATGGGGAGACTGCTTCTTCCTCTGCCTTTCTCTCTCTGTGTCTCTCATGAATAAATAAATAAAATTTAAAAAAAAGAAAGATAGTGGGCCTGTCTTTACTGATATTTGGGGACCTCATAAAGTCTAACTGTAGCCAGTCAGTAACTGTTGCTCAGTCAGGGAGCGACATGCTATTTCTTGTTTTCCTTTTCTCCTGGGTCTTATCCCACTTTCTCCCATCCCTTTCTTCATTTCTCACCTACTTGGAGGGAAAAATGGTAATAAATAAAGCTCTTTTTTTTCTTACCCAAAACATATTCAGCAGAAGGTCCTGAGAACACAGAACTTGGCTTTCATTCCTAATGTAGCAGGATGGCAGTCAGTGTTTATGAGGTTCAGTATTACATGCTGGTCTAGTACATTCAAGGCAAATGTGTCAATCAGGACAGGCTAGGTTAGGTTATGGAAGCAAACAACAAAGCAATCACAGAGGCTGGAAAGAACAAAGGCTTATATCTCAGCTTCTTCGTATGCCCAATGCAGATTGGTGGGAAGTTCTGCTCCCCAGACCCAGGTCGACAGGTGTTCCTCATCATAGAATATTTCCTTCTCATCCAGAGATTTTGGGTTTGCTGCAACAGGGAAAGAGAACATGGAAAATTAAGGCCATTGTCCAGGAAGAGACATAGGTCAATTTCCCTTCATTTTGTTGGCCAGAATAGATACATAGTCATGCTTACCCTCAAGAGGACAGAAAATGCAATTCTTTATATTCCTACAAGTAAGGAAAAATATTAATATTACCATAGCAAGTCTGGGATTTTTGTTTGTTTCTGGTTTTGTCTAAATTGACCCTCTAGACAAGACATAAAATGATCTGAAATAGAAAATATTGTCTTGCATATAATAAGCATTCAATAAATATTTATGAGTGGCAGGTTATTAGTTTTCTATTGCTGTATAACAAGTTAGCATAAATTGAGCAGCTTAAAACAATACCTATTTATTATGTCACAGTTCCGTAGGTTCGAAGTTCAGCACGGTGTGACTGGGTTTTCTGTTCATGGCATATGAGGCTAAAATCATATGTTGGTCAGCCTGGATTCTCATCTAGTGGCTTTGGAGAATTTACTGCCAAGCTCAGGCTATTGATGGAATTCAGTTCCTTCCAGTTGAAAAGCTGAGGCCCCCATTTTCTGACTGGCTATAGGTGGGGTCTCAGCTTCTAGAAGCTGCTAGAATTCCATATCATGGAGGAAAGGTTCTTCAAAGCCAGCAACAGAGAATTTCCCTCACATCAAATCATTTTTCTGCTTCAAATTTCTCTGACTTATTCCATCCCTTACCTCTAGACCCATACTTTAAGGGCTCCCATGTTTAAGTCAAGCCCACCCAGACAATTTCCATATCTTAAGGTCAACTGATTTGGGATCTTAACTACAACTACAAAATTTCTTTTGCATATAAGGTAATATAATCACAGGAGCAATATCTTATCATATTTACAAGTTCCATGGATACTCCAGGACAGGAGATTATATAAAGGTAAAGGTCATTAAAGATCATTTTATTTAATTATTTATCTGTTTATTTATTTATTAATTTTAGAGAGAGAGAGAGGCAGAGGAAGGACAGAGAGAGAGAGAATCTCCATGCTGGGTGGGGATCCTGATGCGGGGCTTGATCTCACAACCCTGAGATCATGATCTGAGCCAAAATCCAAATTCAGACGCTTAGCTGACTGACCTACCCAGCTGCCCCAAAAGAGTTCTTTTAGCATCCTCTCTACACAGCAGCCTGGTTAGAGTACAAAAATTATTATTGAATTGTCCAGATGACTTGGGTTTAAGACCCAGTTCTGCCGGTTATTAACTGGATAATTTGAAGCAAGCCATGAGCCTTTCTTCTCTGTATCAGTTTCCACAATTCTGAAATGGGAATACTATTCCCTGCCCTGCAAACCCCAGAGAGTAGTTATGAGAATCAAATGAGATTATGTGAAAGCACTTTGTAAACTTTAAAGATCAACACAAATGCAAGTTATTATTATTTTGTTTGAATTTAATTTTGCTTCTGAGGACCTATGAGACCAGATCTTTTAAAAACAATGCTGGATGAGGAGGCAGGCATAGGGGCGGAGGAAGGTCTTGAGAGACACAGGCTTTTTGGCTTTCTGTCCTTACAGAACACAAATTTGATGAGCTAATCGTAAAATAAGTGAAAGCATATGCTACACATTTCTTTTTTTAATGCATGAAATAGGTGTAAAATTTTAGAGGATCACTTTGGCAAGATGTTTTTGGCCTCTGCTCTATATAATGATAATAATACATTACCATATATTTATGTGGTGTTTTCTGCAGGAACTGAAACACTTTATAGACAGGACTGTTCCTCTTCTAAATACGACTGAGGTAGTAGCAGATGTAAAGCATTTATCCATGTATAATGTTAGCATATAGACTAGGCCATTTCAGAACACAGGACCCTAAAGCCACATATAAGTACTTTATTTTTTCCCTTTGATTTATGATCTCTTCTTCAGTTAACAAATAGTTTTGGACTTTTACGAACCCCAAGCCTACCTTATTAGCACATGCCTACTCCATATTTTTTTACACTAAGGTTGAGCTTCAGAGTAATTGCATGCTTCCAGTTAAACATTCTCATTTGGTTGTAAGCATCAAATAAATAAAGTTCACATTGATTGAAAGAATTCTATGATGGTATTGCTTGATGCACAGACTTTGAATTTGCCAGCTTATATATAAGTATACTAAGTGATTGTCAGTTGCTCAGGTATGTCTTGAGACACAGGACTAAATCCGGTACAAATCCATTTTCTTTGCTCTGAATCCATTATGAAGAACACTACTGAGAATGTTTAGAATAGGCTCATAACTTATGGAAATATACTCTCAACATCACTTAAACTTTGTTTTCTCTTCGGTACTTTCTCTTTATCCCATGGAGTTTGGAATCTGGCTGATTTTATTTCCAGTGAAAACTAATGGTTTTTAACATGTACTATGAGAAAGGAGTTCATCTCTAAGGAAAACTTTCAGACAATAATAGTTGCTTAATATTGCAGAGAGCAATTTAAAGAATTTTTGTGATTTGCTACCCAGAAGGATTTAAATGGGGACAGTCTGTGGCATTGGTCCCAGTGTGAGCCTAGAGATGAATTTGGGATCAATTTTTCATGGCTTCATCTTGTGATTCTCTCATTCTTTTTGTTTGTTTGTTTTTATTTCTTTTCTAAAGAAAGGCAGTGCCCCATTTGAATGTGTCTGGAGGCTTAGAAACTCGATTACCCTACGTTCTACTACAAATGGACCTTGAGAATTTGTTTGGAGGTCTAGCAGGGGGATGCAGCTACTCATTTACCCTTGACTGAATCCTCCTCTATGGGGGGATGGTCACCTTCCTCCATGGAGCACAAAGCCTCAGGAGGGATGATTTGAGGGAGGAAGGAGACACCAGCCTAGCCTGCCAGATCAGCCGAATCAAACTGGCCATCATTAGTGGGGTGACAGATATCACAGCCAGATCACCTTCCCATCCTCTATTATTCTTTTCTTTATTTTTTAAAATTTTAAAAAAGATTTTATTTATTTATTCATGAGAGACAGAGAGAGAGAGAGAGAGAGAGAGGCAAAGATACAGGCATAGGGAGAAGCAGGCTCCATGCAGGGAGCCTGATGTGGGACTGGATCCCAGGACTCCAGGATCACACCCTGAGCTGAAGGCAGGTGCTAAACCGCTGAGCCACCCAGGCTGCCCTATTCCTTTCTTTAATGATGAAATTTTAGGCTGAACATAGAATGGCCACCCATCTACTCCAAGTTTTTATTCCTAATTTTTAAAAAAAATTATTAAAAATTTAAAATAAACAAAATAATTGTTTGGAATAAACAAAAAAATGTTATTTTAAAATTACAATCCTTCTCTCCCCAAACCATGGGTTCTAGGTTTGAGATTTCTAGTTTTTTCCTTCACCAAATGGCTTTGTTTCTTCCCAATTCTAACATTCCTGACCCTCACACTAGATTTTGCGAGATTGTCATAAGGAGAAAACCCAGTCTGGGGGCACAGACTGAAAATCTCCCTACTCCTGGTTGTCATTTGGCTCCACATTCACTGTAACTAAAAACAAGTATCATCTGTGACTCAAAAGTATAAATACTTTTCTTATTGACTAAATTATATTATATATTTAAAAAATATATAGTAGTTAGAACGACCCAAAATGTTAGAACATTTAATTTCTGAACCTGTAACTAATTTTTTCTTCTACCCCGTAGTTATCTAAAATTTCATATATCATTTAGATGCTTAACAATAAGAGAGGATCAATGTAAAGTCCTCTCTCTCTTTTTTATTGACGTATAATTAACATGCAATGCTGTATTAGTTTCAGGTATACAACATATCGATTCAACAATTCTATATGTCACTCAGTGCTTGCCACGATAAGTGCAGTCACCTTCTGTCACCATACAATAGTATTAAAATTATTGACTATATTCCCTATGCTGTACCTTTCATCTCCATGACTTATTTATCTTAGAACTGGAAGTTTGTATCTTTTAATCCTCTTTGTCTACTTCACCCTCCCCCAACCCACCACCCCTCTGGTAATTACCAGTTTGTTTTCTGTGTTTAAGAATCTGTTTTCGTTTGTGTGTTTGTTCATTTATTTTGGTTTTTTTTTAGAATTCACGTATAAGTGAAATCATATATTTGTCTTCTTTGCCTGACTTATTTCATTTAGCGTAATGCTCTCTAGGTCCGCCTGTGCTATCACAAATGGCAAGATTCCATTCTTTATTATGTCTGAGTAATACTTCATTGTGTGTATGTATGTGTATATATATACATGCATATATATACATTATATATGTGTATATATGTATATCATATATCTCACATATGTGTATATCATATATCTCACATAGATGTTTATATATATCTTACATCTTTTTTATCCATTCATCCATTGATGGGCACTTGGGCTGCATCCATATCTTGGTGATTATAAATAATGCTGCAATAAATGTAGGAGTGCTTTTTTTGTATTAGCATTTTCATTTTCTTTGGGTAAATACCCAGTAGTGGAATTGCTGGTTCGTGTGATATTTCTATTTTTAATTTTTTGAGGAATGTCTCTACTGGTTTCCACAGTAGCTACACCAGTTTACATTCCACCAATAGCGCACTAGGTTCCCTTCTCTCCATATCCTCATCAGCACTTGTTATTTCTTGTCTCTTTTATTCTGGTGATTCTAACTGGTATGAGATGATTCGTCATTGTGGTTTTGATTTGCTTTTCCTTGAGGTTTAATGATTTTGAATATTAGTGTGTCTCTTGGCCTCCTATATGTCTTCTTTGGAAAGCTCTTTTTAATAGCAAGTTTCTAATCTTGTACATTCATATGCAACTGTTTAGACTTACAAATTTCAGATATGAGTAGAGTCTGATCAGTAATATTTTAATAATGTAACATAATGTCAGATAGCAGGTTATTTTTTTTTCTTTTTCCTGTGCTAAGGCTAGATACACAGCAGGATTTTTTAAAGTGAATTTATAGTCAATTAACTTTGGAAAAGAAAATACAATAAACAGACCACCCAGTTGATAGCAGCCTTTAAATAGTGTGTTAAAAAATACTTGTATCTCAAAGTGAGATCCAGACACAGTTCTGATTATTTTTTTTTTAAGATTGTTTGTTTACTTCTTGGTTCAAAAAAGTCAACAACAGGTAACAGTGATTT